TCCCAGGACCTGGGATCATGACCTGAGCCGAAGGCAACACTTAGTGACTGAGCCACCCAGGCGCCCCAATAAAGAAATCTTAAAAAAAACAAAAAAACAAAAACTAGTACAGATTAATGATAATACAAAGTCCATATATAAAAATCAATTTAAAATTGAATTTTAGGGGTAACTGGGTGGCTCAGTCAGTTAAGTATCTGCCTTCAGCTCAGGTTCTGATCCCAGCGTCCTGGGATTAAGCCCCACATCAGGCTCTCTGCTCAGCAGAGAGCCTGCTTCTCTCTCTCCCTCTGCCTACTGCTCAGCCTGCTTGTGCTCGCTCTCTCTGTCAAATAAATAAAACCTTTTAAAAAATGGAATTTTAAAAAAACAATGTATATATAAGACCAAAAATGTTAAACTTAGAATTAAACCTAAAATATGTGTTAGCTCTGTATTGAAAAAAATATTTGAAAAAAATCACTGAACCGTATTTTTAAAAACCCTAAATAAATGGAGATATAGATCATATTTATGATTCAGATGATGCAATATTATTATCCCCAAATTCAACATAATCCTAGTCAAAATCCAAGCAAGTTTTTTTTTTTTAATGACAAGCTCATTCTAAACTTTATATGTAGAAGAATGTAGAAGAAAAAAAATTGGGAAAAAAATGAACAAAGTTGGAAGTTTTACATGACCTCATTTAAAGACTTTATGAAACAACAGTAGTTGAGATAGTGTGTATTGTTAAAGAATAGACATATAGATCAATGGAACCAAATACAAAGTCCAGAAGTAGATATACACATAGTCAATTGATTCTTTTTTTGAAAGTTTTTTTTTCCTTTTTTAAAGATTTTATTTATTTATTTTTCAGAGAGAGAGAGAGAGAGAGAGAGCACAAGCAGGGGGAGCGGCAGGCAGAGGGAGAAGCAGGCTCCCTGCTGAGCAAGGAGCCCAATGTGGGACTCAATCCCAGGACCCAGGGATCATGACCCAAGCCAAAGGCAGACACTTAACCAACTGAACCACCCAGGCATCCTTAGTCAATTGATTCTTTTTTTTTTTTTTTTTAAAGATTTTATTTATTTATTTGACAGAGAGAGACACAGCGGGAGAGGGAACACAAGCAGGGGGAGTTGGAGAGGGAGAAGCAGGCTTCCCGCAGAGCAGGGAGCCTGATGCTGGGCTCGATCCCAGGACCCTGGGGTCATGACCTGAGCCTAAGGCAGACGCTTAACGAATGAGCCACCCAGGCACTCCTAGTCAATTGATTCTTGACAAAGGAGTCAAAGTAATTCAACAGGAAATGTATAGCCTTTTCAACAAATATTATTGGAATAATTGGATATCTATCCATCTTCCTACCTACCATCTGTGTAACTATCAAACCTCAACCTTTACCTCACACTATACAAACAGAAAAACTTGAAACACATAATATACTTGAATGTGAATGGCAATACTATAAAAATTTAGAAAAAATACAGGAGAAAATCTTTGTGATCTTCGTGTTGGCAAAAATTTCTTAGGACATTAAAAGCATTAACCACAAAAGAAAAAAAATACTTGATTTTACCAAGATTTAATATTTCTATTCTTTGAAATATGCTAAAAAGAATGAAAAGATAGGCCACAGACTGGAAGTAAATATTCACAAGATGTATGTGAAAAAGGACTTCTATCTAGTTTAATAAGATAGCCCAGTTTAAAAAAAGGGCAAGAGTTTCATAGACACTTCACCAAGATATATGAATGCCCCCAAAACATATCAAAAGATACTTAAGATCATTAGTCATCAGAGAAATGCAAATTGAAGCCAAATAAGATACCACTACATATCAAATAAAATTGAAAGAATTTAAGACTGACAATGCTATGTGTTGGTAAATATGTGGAGCCACTGGAACTTTCATATACTGCTGGTGGAAATGCAAGATGGTACATATACTCTGGAAAAAAGTTTCATAGGTTCCTATAAATTTAAACATATGCTTTGCATATAACTCATCAATTTCATTCCTTGGTATTTACCCAAGACAACTGAAAACATACCTACAAAGACTTACTTGTATATGAATGTTCATAGCATTATTCATGATGATTAAAATCTAGAAACAACTCAGATTTAATTCCACAGGAGAATGGATAAAGCATGGTATATCCATTTAATTAAATATCTCTGAGCATTAAAATGAAATGAATTAGTGATATATGCAACCACATGTATCAAACTCTGAAACATACTGAGTTAAAGAAGCCAAATACAGAAGAGTAAATATTCTGATTAAACTTTTTCCCCACAATTGCATATAATCTCTAGTGATAGAAAGTAGAATACTGTTTCTCAGAGACAACAGTGGGGAATAGGGGTAGGGTAGGGATTGAACAGAAAGGGCACAAAGGACAAAGGAAACTGTTCTCTATCATGGTGGTAGTTACTCAGATGTATTCCTTTGTCAAAACTCTTATACAGCATATTTAAAATATGTGAATTTTATTATATGTAAATTATTCCTCAGTACATGTTTTAAAAATTAGCAAACAACTTGGCACTGCAAACTCTAAATAAAAAATATCCTAATCAGGTATCATTTATCCTAAGAATGTAGGGATCAATATTTTAAAAATCTGTTAATAAAATCCAGTCTTAAAAAATATAATATTAATTGTTGAGGAAAGGTGTATGACATACATTCCTGATTTAAAACAAACAAACAAACAAACCTTTGAAAACTAGAAGTAGAGGGGAACTTCCTTAATCTCATTAGGGGTATGTACAATACACTTCCAGTAAATATCACACTTGATTGTAAAAGTAGTTTTAAAGCATTTCAGTTAATGTCAGAAGTAGATGCAGATGCAGCTTTTAGGCAACAGGCTTGGGCAATGAAAACGTCAACAAGGCAAGAGTCCATAGTGATTGC